AATCAGCAGCGCCACTGTTTTGCCCTTTCAAGTTTCAGGCTGCGGACTGAGCCATAGAGGTACAGTTAAAAAAAGGAAGGGTGGAAAGTCTTCGGCGCCGGAATTAAAGCGGCAGACTCATAAAATGGGGAAAACCTCACTTAATGATCGTCTTGCTTAGCGACGTAAATTTTGGGTTCGGTGGTGGTTTTGGTCAAAGATTACCTCCAGAAGTTGTGAATGTTCCAACACTGGAAGTCTTTAAGAAGAGACTGCATAGCCATTTGTCTGGAATGGTATAGGGTTTCCTGCCTGAGCAGGGGGTTGGACTAGATGACCTCCAAGGTCCCTTCCAACTTTATTATTATTATTATTATTATTATTATTATTATTATTATTATTATTATTATTATTATTATTATTATTTGTAGCCTATGTTTTCTCTTATAAGATAATCTTTATTGTCATTTATAAGATAAAATAATCTCTATTGTCATTTTTTACTGGGGTTGTTTTCTCAGGGGCTGCCACAAAGAAGAGGGAGTCAAGCTATTCTCCAAAGCGCCTGAAGGCAGGACAAGAAGCAACGGGTGGAAACTAAGCAAGGAGAGAAGCAACCTAGAACGAAGGAGAAACTTCTTGACAGTTAGAAGAATTAACCAGTGGAACAACCTGCCTCCAGAAGCGGTGGATGCTCCAACACTGGAAATTTTAAAGAAGAGACTGGACAGTCATTTGTCTGAAATGGTGTAGGGAGGCAATTAACTGGTGGAACAACTTGCCTCCAGAATAGAATAGAGCTGGAAGGGACCTTGGAGGTCCTCTAGTCCAGCCCCTCGCTTAAGCAGGAGACTCTATATCATCTCAGACAAGTGACTGTCTAGCCCAGGGGTAGGCAACCTTGGCTCTTTTATGACTCGTGGACTTCAACTCCCAGAATTCCTGAGCCAGCTGTGCTGGCTCAGGAATTCTGGGAGTTGAAGTCCACGAGTCATAAAAGAGCCAAGGTTGCCTACCCCTGGGCTAGCCTCTTCTTGAAGTTGTGAATGCTCCAGCAATGGAGGTCTTTAAGAAGAGATTGGACAACCATTTGTCTGAAATAGTATATAGGGTCTCTTGCTTGAGCAGGGGGTTGGACTAGAAGACCTCCAAGGTCCCTTCCAACTCTGTTAGTCTGTTAAATGAAATGTGCCTCCAGCTTTCAGGGATGATAATAGTAATAGTAATAGTAGTAGTAATAATAATAATAATAATAATAAATAAATAAAATAAAATTGGAAGGGGCCTTAGAGGTCATCTAGTCCAACCCCCTGCCCAGGCAGGAAACCCTATACCATTTCAGACAAATGGCTGTCCAGTCTCTTCTTAAAAACTTCCAGTGGTGGATCATTCACAGCTTCTGGAGGCAGGTCGTTCCACTGGTTAATTGTCTGCCCCCTCCTTTCCCAAATCTTGGAATACAACCCCTCTTTCCGGACATTTGGAAAGATCAAAGCAACCCAAGCAGCGGGCGCCCGGCTGCAGACGAGAGAAAACGCTCTCTTTGCCCCCACCCCCACCCCTTCATTTCCCCCCTCTCCAGAACCTGAAGTAGAGACGCGTCGCTTTTTTACCCGGATCTCTACAGTCTCCTGGGAGAGGTGGAGCCAGGCGGAGCGTCCCGTTCGGGGGGCTGTTCTCACGAGATCTGGAGCCGCCGCTTCCCGCTCCCTCCGCGCTCCTCCCTCCCTCGCGCACAGCCGGCCGGGTCACGTGGGCGCGGCGTCCCGCCCTATCAGGGCGCCGGAGCGCGAAGGTCGGCCGAACTCCCGCCAAATACGAGCGAGCCGACGGGCGGTTGGGCGCAGGGCGAGCCGGACGGGGCCGGCCGCGGCGGGGCTTCGCTGTCCCCGGGGATGTGACGGGGAGCGTCGGCTTCCCGCCGCCCGGCCGCTCTTCTCCTCGGGCAGGTGAGGGACTAGAGCGAGCCGCGGGAGGGGGGGGCGGTGAGGGAGGGGGAGGGGGAGGGGGAGGGGAAGAGGAAGGAATCCCTGACGGGAAACTGAGGCAGGGAGGGAAGGAAAAGGAAAGGAGGGGGTCTCTAAGCGGGTACTGAGGGGAAACTGAGGCAGGGAGCAGAGGGGTCTCTCTGGGGGAAACTGAGGCAGGGAGCAGAGGGGTCTCTCTGGGGGAAACTGAGGCAGGGAGGGGAGGGGTCTGTGAGGGGAAACTGAGGCAGGAGAAAAAGGATGGGTGTCTGAGGGAACTGAGACAGAAGGGAGGGGGGGTCTCTAAAGGGAAACTGAGGCAGGAGGGAGGGGCCTCTAAGGGGGAACTGAGGCGGTAGGGAGAGGGGTATCTTAGGGGGAACTGAGGCAGGGAGGGAAGGAAAAGGAAAGGAGGGGTCTCTAAGCGGGTACTGAGGGGAAACTGAGGCAGGGAGCAGAGGGGTCTCTCTGGGGGAAACTGAGGCAGGGAGCAGAGGGGTCTCTCTGGGGGAAACTGAGGCAGGGAGGGAAGAAAAAGGAAAGGAGGGGTCTCTAAGCGGGTACTGAGGGGAAACTGAGGCAGGGAGCAGAGGGGTCTCTCTGGGGGAAACTGAGGCAGGGAGCAGAGGGGTCTGTGAGGGGAAACTGAGGCAGGAGAAAAAGGATGGGTGTCTGAGGGAACTGAGACAGAAGGGAGGGGGGGTCTCTAAAGGGAAACTGAGGCA